ATGAGTCAATTGAGTCAGGAAAAATCGACTCGTGACTCGACTCATTTATAATCGAGCCGACTCGTGACTCGACTCGAGCTCATTTGACTCAACTCGAAAAGCTTGATTATGACTCGATTAACGCGAGCTCGATTATGGCTCTATTACGATTCATTTGACTGTTTTTTTATATAACTTGCAGTCTTGTTTTACACAAATTAGATCAAATTTTGGTAAATTTACATTCAAATCAACATAAATCACATCAAAATACACCAACAAATTGCACAACATAAGCAATGATTAATAGTATGAAAATAGGGTTTATGATTTTCGGGAAATTGTTTATGCGATTTGGGTTAATTGGGGTTAAAGGGTTAATTTGCAATTTTTTAAACCTTTTGCATGTCAAATTACAAGACAGACCTAAAACTTGTATTTTTTTTTGTAGAAAAACCTTAAACGAGCCACTATTGACTTGCAAATCGAATTGAGCCGAGTTGAGGTAGACTCGAACTCGGCTCGGTACCTTATTCGAGTCTTACTCGAGTTGGCTTGACTCGATTTAACTCAAGCCGATTTCAAGTATTTAAAAAGCCAAGCTGACCTGACTCGCGAGTGGCTCGGCTGACACCCCTACCTGTGCGTAAACTGATCCGGACTCTCCCCTTCATTAGAAAAAAAAAAAAAAAAAAAAACCCATTTATATATATTTTATTATTATGTCAAGATCATTCAAAACGGAAGGCATATTCGTATGCACTCATATGCAAATGCCCCTCCTTTATTGATGAAATATTTACTATTATAATGGCTATTTTTCCATACCAAGAAACAACATTTAACTTAATTACAAATCCAAATTTTCCTTCTCATGATAATTTATGAAATTTATGGTTTTTGCCCTGTACTATAAGTAATATTATACTTAAAAAAACTCAATACAAAATTTTTCATATAAAGTGACGTACCAAAATATGATTTGATGAATTAATATAAAAATTTGTCAATATTTTGACACATTATTTTATATGAAAAATTATGTATAACGTCTATATAAGTGTAGTTATATTCTAATATTATATTTATTAACTGTGCATATAGAGTGATGTGTTGGTAAATAATTGGATGAATTATTATAAAAAGCCAACTTAATGAATACATAATAAATGAGATTGAATGACTCGGCAATATAACAGTCAGGCCAATTACTTAAATAAAAATCTTTATATTCTCCTTTGTATGTGTGACTTGCCCTGCTAATAAATATCATAAACTTAAAAAAAAATTAATAATAATAAAATTACATAAACCTCCTCTAATTGCAGCCTAACAAAAGTTCAAACACTAACAAAACCTCCTCCGTTTATAAAAAAGTTAAATTTTGTTATAATTACTAAAATATCAATCTCATTAATACTGAACATAAGGTGACTGGATCCTAGCCTACTAATAAATCAAGTACAAAACCATTTGGCAAAATTTTTTAGTTAACATAATTGCAAAAACCTATATATTAAAACCAAACGAATCCCAAAAAAGCCAATCTCCCTATATTCCAAACCAATCCCTAAAGCAACACGTTTCAAATCAAAGGAAGGATGTGGTGGTCGAAGATTTTGTTGCCAACTACTAGAGGGAAGAATGTTGTTGTCTATCTAGTTCCGTCATAACTTGACCAGACAATCTAATGTACTCAAGTGACTGTGACATACTGAACTTTCAATCTTTCGTTTATTTTATTTTTCTTTAACTTTTGTTTTGTTTTATCTTTTAATTTGAGAAAAGAATTTTTTTTTAATTTTTTAATTTTTTTTTTTTTAAGGAAGAATGATTTGGGGTTTTTAAAGCTATAGTAAAGGTGGCTTAAGGTTTGTTGGATTAATTGGGGCTAATTTTGGGTTTCCAAAAAGAAATAATTTTGAAAGACTCTTATACCCTTGTTCTGTTTATTTTAACTGTTGACTACAAACGGATGGGTATATCTTTGTTAGTTTGTAATAGTGAAGTAGGTTTATGTGATTTTCCTTCTTTCTTTTTCTCTGCACTTTTTTGTGAGTAGTCCCTTTTAGGGTCTGCTTGGGAGTTTTTTTATTTCTATTAGTTTTGAAGAGTTTTTAATTAGACTGGTTTTGAGGTGTTTTAAAACCATTACTTGCCATATTTTTTATGCATTGATTTTGACTGGCTCAAAAATCCCTCAGAACTAGTATAATGTATTTTTGAAGGGTTTATAAAACACCCCAAATCAGGATGTTTGTAACGCCCCACTTGAGGTACGTAGTAAATTATGTTGTATGCTTGAATGTTTGTTGATGTGTTCTCTTTTGAGCTTGCATGTTGTTATTTTGGTTGGTTGGCCATTGGTTGAGTGTTTGCCTTGATTTTGGTTGAGTTTTGGCGAATTTTGGAATTTCGTTCTTCGCTGCGGCGACGTTGGCTTTGTAATTGCAGTGTCGGTTCTATCATTTTTCACTGGGGCGATGGAAAGTTCTTCGCCGCGGCGACGGGCCAGTTGAAAAGTTTAATGAAGTTTTTAGATATTCTTCCATAGGGGCAAAATAACCATTCTACCCCTAATTAGTAGGAAAAGTGGGGAGTGAATTGTAAGAAAATTTTATGGAGAATATGTTAGAGTGGGGGTGTGATTGTAATGAATTAAAGGACAAGGATAGAATTTTCAAGAAAGAGCAAGGGCAGTATGGGAATGAATAAAGATATTTTGAGCTAAAAAGGGTTTAAGTTTAGTAAACCCTTCATTCTTCATCTTCCACCGCCTCTTCCATTCTCTATTTCCTCTCAACTTTCCCTTCAACCTTTCAAGAATTGTAGAGGGTTTTTTGAGTAGTTTGGGGTAGAAAATTAATCTAAGGCATCCTAAGGTATGGATTCTTGCTTGAGATGTGAAGTTTTGCAAATATTGTATATTGAAGTCTGATGGTGTTATTGTTTAAAGGGTAGAGAAGAGACAAGCAATCTAAAGGAAAGGAAAGTGCTAGTGAGATCTCTCCCTTACAAGGTAAGTAAATCCCAATCCAAGTTGATATTTGAGAACTCTTTTGAGTAGAGATTTAGTAGAAATTGTGTATGCTTGTTAGATGATATGTTATTGAGAATTGAGATGGAGATGAATAATTGCTTTGTGGTTGTTAAATACAATTCAATTATGAGAAGTGTGATGTGTGATGAGAATGTAGTTTAAGATGAAATTGGAAGAGATTGAGAAATCTCTTTAGAAGTGTTATGTTATGACAGGAATTATAGCTTGGTGAGGGAGTTTTCTCCCATTTTGGATGTTTCAAAAGAGGGATAGAGCTATAGATAAAGTAGAGTTTATGTATGCACATTAGTTGTTTGATGAAATGCCTAAGAGAATCATAAGTAGTAAACCTTAATTCTTGCAACATTGCATGTTGGCATTTCATGAGTGCATTAGTGGAGAAGAACCATCCATATGCATTAATTGTGCATTGAGAAATGGCTTAAGAAAGAGTAGAGAACTTTGTGTATGAACTACCCTAAGAGTAGAGAGAATGAGAAAAACACTAAAAACGGGTTAGTGCTTTGTGATCTCCACCCGGTAGTTACGAAAAGCGGGTTGGTGCTTTGTGATCTCCACCCGACAGTCACGAAGAGTGGGATGATGCTTTGTGAACTCCACCCGGCTATGCCTCCGGTAAGATGAGGCCATGACATCAAGTGAGAAAGAATGAGTAAACATGAGAAAGAACAAATAGAGAACGAGTAAAGTCACGAAGAGTGGGTTGGTGCTGTGTGAACTCCACCTGGCTGTGCCTCCTGTAAGATGAGGCCGTGACATATAGCAGAAGTTAAGTAAGAGAGCTATGTGAAAGAGAAAATAAATGAGATGAGAAAAAGTGTAAGGAAAGAATTAAGAGAAAGAGTTACAGGGACAGTCGAGTAGAGGATTTACTTACTGAGCATTATTTTGTGCTCACCCCGTTGTTTTTCTTTGTGGTTGCAGGATCTAGGTGAGAACGCAGTTGGATGGGCGCCAGCAAGCAAGGAGCAATAGCTACACTGTCCACTATTTTAATAGCATTTTGTAAATGATATTCTAGTTTGTATAAAGAATGTTTATATGTAATAAAAGAAACTTTTTCGGGCCCAATTACATTTAGCACAATACATGTATTTTATTGATGTATTTCTATGAGTATCCTAGTATTAAGCAGTCATTACAATGTTTTGGTTTGTTGTAAAATTTTATTCCACAAATACCCTATCTACTATAAAACTAACCTAATTATATCCAAAAAATAAATAAATTTAACCATATTATGCACATCTTTAACCATATTAAATATAAAATAATTTTAAGCAATCATAAAAAAAAAAAAAAATTATTAAAATTTCATTTCTAGATGCTTTCTTGGAGAAGTGATTCAAGTGAAGATACATTTTTTCAATCATTCCAGATGCTACAAACAATGATGAAGAAATATAAGAAGACTTTATCATATTTGAAGTTATAAAATACTAATAAGTAGAAAACAAATAAAGAACTCTTATCTTATAATTAAAAAAAAAAAACTCCCAAATACTTGTTATAGTTGGGGTATTTTTATGGGCATATATGTAAATTTATCATTTTAAAAAATTATTAGAACCGTTAGAAAATAAACTCCCAAGTACAGGTTGGATGTTTTAAAAATCGCTACTAAAAACCCTTTAAAACCATTACGATAATTTACCCTCATAATCGCTACCATGAAACTCCCAAGCAAAACTTCATACCTTCCTCAAAAAAGTTAAATAATAACTTGAGATTTAAATTGTAAAATCAAAACAATAAAAATAAATAAATAAATAAATGTGATTGGTTACCCAAATTTCTCAACCAATCACAGGCAGCTACTCTCAGTCTCACCAGCATCTATCTGCACACTGACGCAGCACATTACACTTACAAATTACACGTATGCATTTCTCTTCATGCTTATTAGTTATTACTCATCCATCCATCAATTCATCCGCCTTACTCACAACAAATCCATATTCCCCAAGTATCGCCGATAAGGTTCGGATCGGAGTTTCTTCACATGGCCACCGATGTTCAGACCTTGGAAGAAAGGTTCTAATTTCATCTAATTTTAATACATTTTTCCGCTTTTCTATAAATTCTGGAACCTTATTTTGAGCTCAGATTATGGTTTAGTTGGTTCAATTTATAATTTTTATTTAATTCTTAGTATTCTAAGGTTTAGACTACTCGTAGGTATAAATTTTGGAACCTGGATTGTGAATGAGGTTAGAGTTAGGGGTCTGTTTGGCAACTTGGTTACTGTACTCCAGTGATGGTTAAGGTTTTTGCATGCTGGAGTTTTATGATCTATTGCACTTAAATTAGTGCATATTTTAAAAACAAAGAATTTACTCTTTACTAAATATATACTTGATTTTTGCTTTCTAGTTATCTAATTTATGGGTTTGGTTTCAGGTATATTGATTCCTGCAGTAGACTTGATGTATTACCAAATCCTGCAATTTTGTCTGGTCTCTTCAAGGTCTGTATTGATTACGGTTTGGGCCACGTGGACTTTGTTGTATTTCATTAATTAGTTATTTATGGCTCATTTCATGATGTTTGAAATGGTATCATCTCCTGAGATTTTATCACGGATGGGAATTATTTTATTTTTTATCAAAAGCTTTTTCCAATACGGTCGAATTTCCCTTTATTTTTTCGTTAAGGAAATTCTGCATGGAAGTTGTTACGTTGTATAATACTTTCTTTGTTATGGTTTATTGTTGATGGAAACATTTAGTTGAATCTTTTTGGTTCAGGCTGATGTTAGAAAGGCTCGGCGAGAATCATGTACCCTAGAGATTCTATTGGAATACTTGAAGGATATTGATTTCAATCCACTTCTTGAAGTGTGCCTTGAAATTAGTGAGTCTGAGATTGAGGCTGTCGACATACGTGGTGGATCAGCATGTGTGTTGAGTGGAGAATATGCTTTGGCTCTGATGCGTGCTATTGGTCAAAAGCTTCGATCAGTTGATCTTCAGGATACCTCATTTGAGAAGGAGTTCTTGCGGTATTGCATCCATTACTATTCCATCATTTATAATAACTATTGGGGAGTTTTTGCCTGAATTTAAGCATACAAACTCGCAGCTCACAATGTCCTTACCACCAACTATTTAATCTGAACTTCTTTTGCTTAATATTAGCACAAGTTCAGCACTAGCAGAACATCTGAAAGTGTTGGTTGAGAGCGCTTTGATCAATCAATGGAATTCATATGTTAAATCAACAGATATTTTAAATCATAATTGCATATATTTCATTGACTTAAAAATAACAGCTACAAGATTCATTTTCCAGTGATACTGGAGCCTTAAGTTTATAATGGGCAGACTTACCATGTAAGCCAATTAGTAGGTGACTTACCAAGCTAACCATGTCTATACCATCTTGTAGTTATGGCATTTGATATGTTTTATTGATGATTTTATCTGTCACTTAAGTTGTTTTGAAGGGTTACGGACATTTCAAATGTTCACATTACTTGTTTCTGCCATATGGCTACGTAATGTTGAATCATTTTTGAATTGGAATCAATCAGAACAGTTACAGTGGAGATCTTCATAAAAAATGAAGCAGCCAAAAAAGAATTAAATTTCTTTTATCAAGCTTACTTCTGATACTGTAGCTTCTGCTTACTATTGCAGATATTTATATGTGTTTTGGGTGGACTGGAATTTCCTTTGATTTCTCTCCTTTTCATCTTATGTATTATGCAACATCTTTTGTTGTTGCATTTTTCACTGGGAGAAATAGTTCATGTCAAAAAAAATTATGAAGCATCATGATTCTCATTGACTATTTCTTGTCACTAATTTGAGGTTCACCATCAGGGATCTTTCTCGGAGAGGTTTGACATGCCAAGTTTTAGACCTGAGGACCTCGCATTTTCGAAAGCTGAACATGATGGGCGAGTTCATGCAATTACACACTCTTAATCTTGACTATAGTAATTCACTCTCTAGTTTCAAAGAAGATTGTTTCACTTGTATGCCCAATCTAATGTGCCTTTCAATGTGTGAGACAAGAGTGTCAAATCTCTGGACGACTGTAGCAGCACTTTCTAAACTCCCTTCTCTGGTGGAACTTCGGTTCCAAAATTGGTTCTGTTGCAATGATGCTACTCATTCTTCTGGATCAACTGATCAAGATGACAAAACTGATTTCTTTCATCTCAGCAGTAGTTCATCCATTGGAGTTTTAAATAATGTAGTTACTAACCGTGATACTCAAATCTCGATAGAGGATTCATCAGATGATAGTGAAATGGATTTCTCAAGTCAGCAGCACGAATATGATTACATGGACCTATTTTCGAATGTAGCTCCTCAAATGGATGGAGAGATTGGTCCTTGGAATGAGGTAAACTATATGGTTTTTTTTCTTCTTCCACTAGTATCTTGAGTTTTCTTTTTTCTTTGCTATGTGATTGAAAACTTTATACTTAGAGCTGCCCCGAGTGTTATTGACAAGCAAATTGGAGACAATTATTTGGCTACTAAAGAAAATAAAGTTATTCCTATCTTTTTTATTTATTATTATTATTATTATTATTATTATTATTATTATTTTTGTAAATGTCTTATTTGGAAAGCATTATTATGGTTGCCTAGTAATGATCATCTATCTAATATCTTTAAACTACACTTTCTCAAAGTTTGATGTTAATTTTAAGTGATTATTTATTTATTTCTTTTGTTTTTATGTTATTTCTCTTGGTCACCGTTCATACCAAGGTGATATATGTCTCTAGAATGTTTTCATGTGTCTCCAGAATGTTTTCCTTTGTAAAATGTGTTAGGTTTTGATGCTATTTCTTTATGCTTTTTGTGAAATTAGAAGAGATAATTCTTGATATTCATTGTGAATAATGTACAACAATATATACACTCAGTAATCCATGAAATGAGGAAATGAAATAATCCTATTCCTAATAAATCTTAGCCTATCCCTAATGTGATCTTGATCCTAATCCTAAGATGATAGTGTAAAACTCAACATTCTAATCCTAACATGATTCTGTACAACTCAACATTCTCCCTCAAGATAAAGCATATAAATCATATGCATCAAGCTTGCTACAAATAAAACCAACACGAGGACCCTTAGAGTGATTTAGTGAGAATATCCGCTAGTTGGTCGTTTGAGCTGACATGTCTAGCGGTAATACAACCGGACAAAATTTGCTTTCGAATAAAATGACAATCAATTTTTATATGTTTAGTCCTCTCGTGAAACACCGGATTAGAGGCAATATGGAGAGCGGCTTGATTATTGTAAAGTAACTTTATTTGTGATACTTCTGCAAATTTCACCTCTTGAATTAGTTTCTTCAACCAAATGAGCTCACAAGTTGCTAAGGCCATTGCATGTATTCTGCCTCTGCACTCGATCTGGCAATAACATCTTGCTTCTTACTCTTCCAAGATACAAGGTTTCCGCCAACAAGAACACAAAAACATGAAGTGGAGCGTCTGTCAGATGCAGCACCTGCCTAATCACCATTAGAATACCCAAGAACATGTGTATGACCCCTGTTTTCATATAACAAACCTTTGTCGGGTGCACCCTTGATACACTTTAGAATTCGAACAACTGTATCCCAATGGTTATCACATGGAGACTATAAGAACTGACTAACAACACTAACAGAGAAGGATATATCGGGGTTGTGTGATGGTGAGATAATTAAGCTTATCAACCAATCTTTGATATCGTCCAGGATCAGCCAGAGGCTCCCCTTGTCCAGGTGAGAGCTTTGAATTAGGATCTATAGGAGAGTTTATCGGTCTACAATCTGACATCCTTGTTTCTCACTTTCTTTGAGAGATAACAATACTAGAGCTGCATTGAGCAACTTCTATACCAAGGAAGTATCTAAGTAGCCCTAAATCTTTGGTCTGAAAGTGGCTAAACAAGTGTTTCTTCAATTGCTCAATACCATCTTGATCACTTCTTATAATGACAATATCATCGACATAGACATTCAGATAAATGCATTGCTTTGGTGATGTATGTTTATAGAAGACTGAATGATCAAATTCACACCGCACCATACCAAACTCTTGAATGACAGTATTGAAACGTCCAAACCAGGCATGAGGAAACTGCTTCAAGCCATACTGTGAGTGACGAAGTTTAGAGACTAAGGCAGACTCCCTTTGAACAACAAAACCAAGCGGTTGCTCCATATATATCTCTTCTTGAAGCTCACCATGCAGAAATGCATTCTTAATGTCCAATTGGTATAGAGGCGACTGTCGGATGGCAGCCATAGATAAGAACAAGTGGACATAAGACATCTTCGCCATAGGAGAAAGAGTATCATAATAATCCAATCGATAAGTCTTGAGTGTACTCTTTGGCTACCAAACGAGACTTTAAGCGATCAACATGTCCATCCGGACCAACTCTGACAGTATAAATCCAATGACAACCAACAGTCGACTGCCTTGGAGGCAAAGGTACCAATTCCCAAGTGTTATTATTATGCAAAGCAGTCATCTCTTCAATCATTGCTTGACGCCACCTAGGATCAATCAACGCCTCATGAATATTGGAAGGAACAGACACAGAAGAAATTGTGGACACAAAAGCAAAATATGGTGAAGATAATCGATGATAACTAAAGAAATTATAAATCAAGTGAGGGTTGCGAGTGGACCATATGCCTTTACGAATGGCAATAGGAAATTGATCATCAGGAGGTAGGACCGCGACATGAGAGTAATCTAGAGCAAGATCTATAACAGGAGCCTCAAGAACAGGGTCAGGGACAATGTCAGTATTTGTAAGAGGAATAAGAGCATGATCTGTAGGAGGGGACTCTCCTATAGGTTAAGAACACTATGAGACAGGGGCAGACTCAAATGATTGACCAAAAAGGGGAGCAATGTAAGGTACGGGGAGGACCTCAGTTATAGAGGCACAGTCTGGTGGAGATGAAGAGAAGAAGGGAGAAGACTCAAAAAACGTAACATCAGCAGATAGGAAATATCGATTTAGTGTAGGAGAGTAACACTCATAAGCTTTTTGAATATGCGAGTAACCCAGGAAAATACATTTGATAGACTTGGCAGACACTTTATCCTGACCAGGGGAGAAGACATGGACAAAACATGTGCAACCAAAGACACGGGGAGGAACAGAGAATAAAGACTGGTCAGGGAACAAAACAAAATGAAGGACCTTGTTTTGTAGGACAGAAGAAGGCATCTGATTGATCAAGAAACAAGCAGTCAGCACAGCGTTTGTCCAAACTGGAAAGGAACTTGATTGTGTAAAAGCAAAGTGCAGACAGTTTCAATGTCTATTCTTACGCTCAGCAACCCCATTTTGTTGTGGGGTATAAGCACAATATGATTGATGGAGGATTCTCTGGGAGGACATGAATTTTGCAAAGGGGGCAGATAACTATTCACGAGCATTATCACTCCACAACACATGAATAGTAGTATTAAATTGAGTCTTAATTTCAGCACAAAAGGATTCAAATATTGAAAATAATTCAGAACGAGTTTTTATTAAAAATAACCAGGTGCAACGAGAATAATCATCAATAAATGTAATAAAATACTGAAAACCCAAAATAGACAAAACACGACAAGGACCCCGCACATCTGAATGAACTAACTCAAAAGGGGACGCAACCCCGTTTATTGACATGCTTGGGAAAAGAACTGCAAGAATGTTTCCCAAGCTGACATGACTCAATTAAAAGATGATAAATTAGATAGACCTGGAACCATCTTCTGAAGCTTCAATAAACTAGGATGGCCCAAACGATTATGAAGGAGAATCGGAGATTCCGAAATAGTGCATGCAATAGGGGCAGAAGGTAAATTGAAATGGTAGAGGCCTTGTGACTCATGTTCTGCGCCAATCATCCGTCTCGTGTCTCAGTCCTATATAACAACAGAAGTAGTATCAAAAGTGATAGAACAATTTAAAGACCGTGTAAGTTTACTGACAAACATAAGATTAAAGGGACAATTAGGAATATAAAGAACAGAGTCTAAGGCCAAGGATGGAAGCGGATGTGCACGGCCTACTGCTTTAACAACTGTTTTGGACCTATTAGCCATAGTGACAGAAGACAGAGATGTAGCAATAGTAAGACGAGAAAGTAAATGAGGGTTGCCAGAAATATGATCAAAAGCACCAGAATCAAGTACCCAAGGCTTTATAGGGGAAGACTGAGTGAGGCATGCAACTGAATTACTCGAGTGAGCTATGGAGGCAACAGATGAAGAAGACTGCTTATTTGTTTGATACTTAAGATACTCTTCATAATCAGCATCAGTGAGAGTCAAGGATTGTTGAATGTGTCCCTTAGATGATTCTGAATGCAAATTAGAGTAATCAGTTTGAACAACATTAGCGGCCCGAGAAGGGTGGCCATGCAACTTGTACCATTTCTCCCTAGTATGCCCCCATCGATTACAGTAGCTACACTTAGGTCGACCTCCTTTGCCACCACGGTCTCCCTGATCTCGTTTATAAGTGTTTTGAGTTTGAGAAGCCAAAACTGAAGAGTCAACCAAGGGAGATCCTGTCACAACACCCGGAGAGGAGACACGAAGTAATCGAGCAAACACTCCATCAAGAGATGGCACAGTGGCACTAGCCAGAGTCTGATCTCGTATAGTAGATCTGGGCTGATAGCAGCAAGAGTAAGAACCATGAAAAAATTTTCTCTTTGGGCCAGATCTTCTGCTACAGACTTGCCAGCAGGCAATAACAAATTAAATTTTGCCTTAAGAGAAGCCATCCTGCCAAGGAAGTCTGACATACCCATATCTTGTTGTTTGAGAGTAACCATACTGGACACAACAGAAAATAAGCGCTGGATATTATTTGTATAAAGTAATTTGGCCTGACGCCATACCTCAACACAAGTTTTGTATATTTTATAAAAAGGGTGAAGGGGAGGGTCAATCATCTGCAATAATAAACTACACAATAAAACATCAGTCTTTACCCAAATTGCTTTATCTTCTTTGATATATTTAGCCTTAGTAGTCAATGATCCTCCGAGCCTTCTCCCATACACCATAATTCAACAGAAGCGGTCCAGGAGGAAAAATTAGTGCTACCTATTAATTTTTCAGTTGGGATTGGAGGAAGAGAGAAGAATGAAACAAAACCTGATTTAGAGCTGGATCCTTCAGTAGACATGATCAATGTATGATAGAGATGAAATTGATCTGGGTAGTAGCAAAAAAATACTTTTGTCGACAGAGGACGTTTTGGCGACGGTGATGACGTGGCAGGCGTTAGCAATGATGAGACCCAAGGTTATACTCGTTGGCGTTGTCTGAGGCTACTGGTGTCGGCGGTGAGATGTCACGCTTGCTGGAGAAGGAGATCGGAGAAGAAGTTGCCAAAAAGTCGATCGGTGCGTGGGACAATGAACGGCGATGATCTTTTGAGGGTTTGACGGCGAGAGAGAGACGAATAGGTTGGTGTTTTCGGATTTCAAAGTCGACACCAGATGGAGGCTGCCTGAACTTCGCCGGAAAAGTTCACTGGAAAAAAAATCGCTGAAACAGAAAAGAAGAAGAGAGAAAAAAAAATTCTAGGGTTTCTGATTTCTTTGCTCTGATACCATGTGAAATAGATAATTCTTGATATACATTGTAAATAATGTACAACAATATATACACCTAGTAATCCATGAAATAAGGAAATGAAATAATCATATTCCTAATAAATCTAATCCTTATCCCTAATGTGATCTTGATCCTAATCCTAAGATGATAGTGTACAACTCAACATTCTAATCCTAACATGATTCTGTATAACTCAACACTTTTCACTTCATAGTAAGGGTTAATTATATTTCTATGTGCTTTTGAATCCTACCTACCATTCATATCGATTGTTCTATAGTATTTGTTGACGTTTGTTACATATGTCACTTAACATTAAAATTCTTTGATATTTTTTGGTTCTACTTGGTTTTGCAGGTTTCTCTCGAGACATTGTTGAATAAAAGTGAAGAAGTCTCAGCTGGTGTTTTGACAAGGCATGTTGCAGGTGTTTCATTGAAGTATTTGTCTTGTAATGCTTCACCAATATGCTTTGAGAAGTATTACAGGGATTTCATGATAGCTTCATTGGCACAGTTGAAATTTCTGGATAACTTATCCATCAGAAAGATTGACCGGGAAACTGCTACTAATACGTTTTCACAGAACTTTGAGTACCTACCATACAAAAGGAAGCATAAAGAGAGTATTGTTAGTATCTTGCAGAAGCGTGAAATAAGAGCTAGTAACTCTCATGTTAGGACTTCCAAGCAAAAGTCATCATATCCTTCAGGAATATCTCAATATTCCTATACCAGGTCCCTCTGTGCTGCCAAAGTTGGATCTTCTGCTTGGCCTTTCATACATACACTTTCCATTTCAGGCAATGATATCAGAGATGAAAATAGGATTTTTCGTCCCAGGCAGTTTGAGTACCATCCGTGTATTCCTCGCCTTATGGTCTTTGGAACCTTAGATGGTGAAATAGTTGTAGTCAACCATGAAAATGAGAAGATTGTTAGTTATATTCCATCATTTGGGGATATGAATAGTGTGCTTGGACTTTGTTGGCTCAAGAAGTATCCTTCCAAGGTATGAGTATTATAAAAATTATTCAAAGGGATTAATTTGCAATGGTTTTCTAATCCGAATCATAAATATCCTAATCGCATTTGACTGAATGTGAAAATTATTAAAAAAGTATGAATATGTGGTATTCTTTTGTTAGTGACTATGAACATAATACTGTCTGTAAGAAAGTGTTGTTTGTCGAAGAAAACTGCACACTATATATATAGCGAAGAGTTTCTAGAGTATTTGATTCTGCATTATTAATTTTAATGACTTTGAAATTTCTGACTCTCTCTCTCTCTCTTGTTGCTCCTCTAGCTCATAGCTGGTTCAGATAATGGCTCATTAAAGTTGTATGATATCAAGAATATGCCACCAACAGTTGCAGATGCGCATTATGGTGCTGGTACTGTCAGCTTTGATGAATTTGACCTATTGACATCTGTTCATGTTAACTCTACGGATGAACTATTTCTTGCTAGTGGATATTCCAAAAATATAGCTCTCTATGACATCACTACCGGAAGACGGTTGCAGGTTTTCGCAGATATGCATCAAGAGCATATCAATGTTGTCAAGTTTTCAAACCATTCCCCATCGATATTTGCTACATCTTCATTTGATCAGGATGTCAAGTTGTGGGACTTGAGGCAGAAACCCGTACAGCCTTGCTATACTGCTTCAAGCTCACAAGGAAATGTGATGGTTTGCTTTTCTCCAGATGATCATTATCTTCTTGTTTCAGCTGTTGACAATGAGGTAACTTTTCAACTTCTTGATTGTATGAGTGGAATTGTGAATGTGTTCCATGTGCTTTATTGCCAACTTATTTTGGGGGCTGTGGCTAGATTTTGACATCTAAGATGTCCACTCCTTGCAACAATTGGTCCTGACAGTGTTTTTGCATCTGATTGATCATGAAATTTGGATTAATCATCTTACAAATGATTACCCTTTGGTTCCAATAACTAAAACTAAAACTAAAACTTATTCCTTGTGAAATTCTTCTTTGGAATCTTTTTATTCTTTTCTTTGCATCTCAAATTTGGATTTGAATATTGATCATTATTTCATTGGGGATTAGTTGTACTTGCTGTGCTGAATTCTCACTCAATGACATATTAAATCATATGACCTAAAAGCTTAAGTTTATAGGTAAGCCTAACAATAATATTTAAGCCCTAACACTTCCTTCACATACAAGGCACGATGATTGAGCACGAATATAATCACAATAACTAGCATCACAACAACTAGCTATCAAATACAAACATAAGTTATCATAGTTTGTTTAAAACAATAGGGGAACTTGAATACAAAATCACTTTGGCAACCTGGTTTGATACCATATTAAAAAACTATTTGACCTAAAAAGCTTATATTGATAGCGAAAGCCCAGCTATAGTTTTTGAGCTTTAACAAATGATACTGGGTTTTGAAATACATAATACAACAAGATACCTGCACAGTAAAGTTCTTGTGTGAGTATAGCTTCTAAAAGTTTTGGAACACTTTTCTTACCTCTTGGAGGGTGGAATACATAATGCTATGCCATTTAAGGGGTAATTGCCGCTAAAATGTATTTGTGGCATTGTGTCCTCATCACTAATTTTTATAGGCTTGGGATTCTTTGGACATTTAGCGCACTTTAACATTCATTTCTTTTCGGGCAGTTCATGCTTGATTCTTTTATTTTGATGTGACGAAAATATGAATGTTATTGTACAATGAATATGTCAAAAAATTTGAGTTAGACATATTGCTATTTTCAGGTTAGGCAGCTTCTCGCTGTTGATGGGAGGGTCCACTTGAATTTTGAGATAGCTTCTACTGGAAGCTCCCAGAATTATACTCGTTCCTATTACCTGAATGGAAGGGACTATATTGTTAGTGGGAGTTGCGATGAACATGTAGTCCGTATTTGCTGTGCTCAGACTGGGAGGCGTCTTAGGGATATATCTTTGGAGGTGCTGTTATCTTCTTATTTACATATAATATTTCAACTCTGAGATTTTGTGATGTATGAAACAATGCTCTGTGATTGAATATAAATGTGCATAGGTTTGTTCCAATTAAATACAAAACTTCTCTTTGCTTGCATGTTGTTTTTTTTTTTAATAGTCTGGAAATCACTATTGTGGTGGTGCAGCTTCTCCGTACCACCTATATGCATAATGTCTGTGTTTATCATGAATAAGTTAACATTGATTGACACTTTTCCTACTCTTTATATAGAAGTTCTCTCTCCTTGAAGAAATAGTCTTCTGGATATATTATGACAATTTTTTATTAGTTGGAGGAGAAATTAAATTGGTGTTGTTCTTATGCAGGGAAAAACCCCAAGGACTTCCATGTTTGTGCAATCTTTGAGGGGTGATCCTTTTAGGGTAAGTAATGTAATTTGTTACTAATACAATCAGTGTATTTTTGATAACTTGTAGAGCTAGACTTAGGAAAACAGCTCTAAATTCTTGCTATTTTCATGTTTCAAGTATAATGTTTACATTATGGACATTTCCATGAATGGTATTTCCATTTCTTCATTTCCTTTCTCTGGATATTCATGAAATGTTGCTTTCTGTAAATATTGACTTACTATTTCTATTGGTTTCCTTGATCTCTTCATAAAGGTGATTTATGTTAAACGTCAGAGTTGTATTGTATATCTAGATGCATGTTGTTTGAGGCATTGAATGGAGCCTCAAGACATTTACATTAACACTTTAGCAAGTAGCCTATTTGCCTGTGGTTCAGGCAATTAAGACAGATGGGAGTCTCCCATCTTTAAGTTATGTAAAAACAATTTCTACTTTTTAAGGAGCAAAAACCAGTCTTTCCTATGGTAGTCTAGGTGTAATGAACTTATCTTTTTCAAAAATCCTGTTTAGCTTAGACCTTTTCTTCGGCTTTCTTGTAGTACCATTTGTATATAATGATAGTCATTTATAAGGTTGAAAATTTATGCTTGCATTGTATATGTTTAAGTACTGTGTAGTATAGTAGGAGTTTACTGATAAAAAATTGTAAAATCTTTTCTTTATTCAGCTTGCTTTGTTTCATTTTGTGTTATCAACTTATATGATCTTCTTTATTTTGATTCATCAGAAAATGTGTTTGCTTGAAGAAAAAGTAGGCTTCGAGTCAGTTTCTTTATACATTACTGAAGTTTTTAATGTGTGCAGAAAGTAGTGGCTTAATCATTAGAATTCAACCCACTTATGTGGATTATTTTAGCTTTTAATGTTTAAAAGCATTTTCACCGGTGTCTATGCATACATGTGCTGTTAAAAGCTTGAGATTAATATGTTTTTCGATATTTCTATACATCTTGCGTCCAGGATTTCAACATGAGTATCTTAGCAGCCTATACACGTCCGAGTTCAAAGTCTGAAATTGTCAAGGTATAGCAGCTTTGCTTGTTTCTTTCAGCTCATTTTCTTTCTTTGATATATTTAAAAGAAAACAAGGAGAGATAGAATGTGTGTAGGAGAAGGAATAAACAGAAGCAGAATAAGTGTCTAAAACTTCAAAGTTGCAATTTTGCAGGTGAATTTGCTGGCTTCAACAGACTATTATTCGAAGGAACAATCTGATGACCGGCTTTCTCGCCCATCCAAAAGAATGGGAGGTTGATATATATGACATCTATTTTCTTCCATTTCCTTATGTTGACAAAGGTAGCTCATCTTGGTTAGTTCTAGTAGCATAGGTATACCTGTAATGTTTAATGTAATTGTTCTGTGTAAATTTAATTTCCCATATAATTTAATGGGAGACCTGTTCTTCAAATGAACGGTGCACCATTTTAATGGCTGGATATATGCACAATTTTCATCTTCATTCTAACCAAATTATTTTAAAAATACCATTGTCTGTGTAATTTAAAAATTAAATAATCCTATAACCACATATATAATCTCATCGTAACGGTATATTATTCATCTTTCAAATAAAATTTATTTATATGTAAAATATTGATTAGATCTAGAGTTTTGACTTTTGAGATATATCTTGTGTTGAGTAGTATTATCATAAATTTATATATATGAGTTAGGTTAAAAAATTACTCAATTTACGATTGAGTAATTTGATATAAACTCTTGTTGTGTATTATTTAAAAAGTTTTGAGTTTGAATCAGTTTTTAGTTATTAATAAAGATAATTATTGTATTTTTTATTTGGTTAATAATTTCAGAGTCTTAATAGATTAATTAAAGTGTGTATAAATTAGACTGAAGGTTACGGATCATTTAAAAAAAGAAAAAAAATTATTTGACTGTTATGTGAAATTGTAGATACGACGCTTAGCTTTAATGGGAATTTATGGTGGCATTTTTTCTCTATAGAAAACCTTGGGTTCCAGTACAGCAGCGGCATGGGAAGGCACTTTTATTGATTGATGTTTTTGGTTTGACACCAAAAGAGTACGACAATAACACGTCACGTACGATATTAAAGGCTGAATGGTTACAGCGGTGGAGTGAGTTGTTATACATTAACACTTGTACAAATGCTCTGAACCTCAACAACTCTTCTCATGCATCCCACTACTTCACTCCCACAATCAGACAAACCAAAACGAAGCTACCAGACTCTAGACTACTTTCCTTCTAATTAAAAGCTGTTGAAACAGTTTCACCCTCTTCAACCCACCACTGTTACTGTAACTATCTTAATCATAATTTCANAATTTAAATAATTTTTAGATATAATGTTAAAAGTTAAACTTTATAATTTAAACAATTTTTTATAGATTAATTTCTATGTCACATTATTAACTATGAGTTATTCCTTATACCACATTAAATCCTATTTATAAATTAGGTTAATGATGTTATTTTCAACTGCTGTTCCCTATACTATATTAATTATATATAATATGTACATGAATTAAGTTCAAAACAATGGAAAAAGAAAATAAAGAATGCCTTGATAAATTAATAATTTATTAATTTATACGATTAAATAATATATTAATTAATTAATAAATTTTCATGCTCTCAAGAATATTAATTTATCGAAGTTTAATTATACTTGTTATCAATTAATATAATTTTTTTTATATACTTTTGTTGATAATTTTAAACTACATATTTAAAGTAGCCTAATCTGATGTGCAATTCTGTCTCCGTCTCTAATACCATAAACTTTCTAGTATAAAGTCCATTATTGATGTGATGTGTGCAAACTAACATGGCTCAAAATGTTTAGTTACTAAATGTTAGTGGACCAAAGTGTAATATACGAAAAGCTGAAGGAATAGATTTACCCCTTAATTTCTAGAATACCCTTGTTTACTTTGACAAGTAACCCAATAACATATGTGTTAGTTTTTCTTTTATAACCAGATTCAACTTAAAGTGATTTTGATGGGAAAAAGGTTTAAAAAGTTGAACAAATTTAGTGATAGTTGCAACTCACAAAGAAGATGGTGGTTGGAATAAGGCATAAACGATTAGAATGAGAAAACTGATTAACACTTTCTGGCTCTAATGAAACATGTGGATCCATTTATAATTTACTCATTTTCAAAGGGAGCTGTTAAACTTCATCATTACCTTATTACTTTAGTTTATCATCTGGTATGGACGACATTGATTCTGAAACAGAAATGAAATGAGATCCACATTAAAAATATAACTTGTCTGGACATTGATTCTCAGGTCACCCAACTAACAAAATAACCATCCTGGCTGCTGATTCTAAAGTCACAGAACTAACAAAATAAGTCTTTCTGAATGCTGAACCTAAAAGAGAAGTGAAATATAATGAGTCAAGTTGAATCCCATACTGTTAAGCAACAACTCGCCCACCTAGGAAGGCCCTTACCCGAGAGAAAAGTTTTTTTTTTTTTTTTTTTTTTAATGATCGGAGTGTTTGGACTAGTTTTTACGTATATTACCTTATAAACCCAATAAAAAAACTTAATAAAGAGAGCAAGTCTTATTTACCGCCATACCAACCTAGTTTAACTTTTCATATCTCGTATGTTAAAGATTCCTCTCTTTTTCCCACTTTTACAAATATACAATCCTTCTACAAGCATGCGCAATTAGTAATACTCCAAATTGGACACCTGGACCCTCTTTCATTTCAAATTACTTAGGTATAGGCCCAGCCCAAGTTCACTGCCGCCCAAACTTTCACGAACCAAAGCGAGCTCAGTTTTCGCAGCTAGACATATCCCTCTCAGTCTCTTCTCTCCGATTCTTTTTGAACTGCTGAGAGAATAGATCATCTTCCCCTAATTCAACGACAATGGATAATTCTAAAGTTCAAGAAGTAATATTTTTTTTTTTTAACTTATATCTTACATTCGATATTTAATATTCATACAATTATTTATTTAATTTATTTTAATTACGAATTTCAGATCGTGGAAAAGCAAGTGCTCACAGTGGCCAAAGCCGTGGAGGACAAACTGGATGAGGAAATCACAGCCCTAGATCGGCTCGATATGGACGATATCGAAGCTCTGAGAGAGCGGCGGCTACAACAGATGAAGAAAATGGCGGAGAAGCGCAACCGTTGGATCTCCCTGGGACACGGCGAGTACTCGGAGATTCCCGTCGAAAAAGACTTCTTTTCAATCGTCAAGGCCAGTGACCGCGTCGTTTGTCACTTCTATCGCGACAATTGGCCTTGTAAGGTGAGCTTTGCAATCGATTACGATTGAATTAAGGGTAGAATCTAAAGTATGACCCTACATTTACATTTACGTTTTGAATTTTCGATTCGCAGGTGATGGATAAGCATTTGAGTATATTGGCGAAGAAACATATAGAGACTCGTTTTGTGAAAATTCATGCTGAGAAAAGTCCTTTTTTGGCTGAGAGGCTTAAGATTGTTGTTCTTCCTACTCTTGCGCTGATAAAAAATGCTAAAGTAGATGATTATGTGGTAAGTTACTGGATCAATAATCAAATTTGTGCAATGCTGTTGTTTTTTTTGGTTTGTTTTTTAACACAACAGTGTTGAATTAGGTGGGATTCGATGAGCTCGGTGGGACGGATGAATTCAGTACTGAGGAACTGGAGGAGAGATTGGCTAAGGCTCAGGTCATCTTTTTTGAGGGTGAATCGTCGAGTTACCTATCAAAGTCTGGGGCACAAACAAGGAGGAGTGTGAGGCAGAGCACCAACCCGGATTCATCAGATTCTGAATGAGTTTGTGTTGTCAATACTTTGATCTTATGCTAAAGAAAAAGTTTATGGTTTCGGTTTAGCTGATTTGAGTATTAATTGATAATTTAAAATGCATTTTTTCTTGTTATTATAAGATTCGTGCTATTTGTCATTACTCTGGTGGCATCATGGCATTACACGTGGTAATAGTTCTTGTATTTAGGTTATTGTGTTAGTTCTTAATGAAGCTGAATCTCTCATCAGCTAGTGAAATTTGAGAAAACTGCTTGTGACTTCTTTAGAGTGTTTTGTGCTTGTTCTGTGTTTGGAAGACAGGCAGATTCTTTGGAGGTATGCATATGGTTATTCAAAGTATTTCAATTCTTGTTCTTGTGTTTTAATTGTTCAGAGATTGAAACACTGATGTGTGGCACTTAAAGTTGTGAGTTATCGAGAAGCGGTAATTCATGGTGTGGCTCTAACTGGACCTGTCACCAAAATGAGAAGAAAGCAATATCTAATATATGCCTGTTACCAGCTCCTTATCAACATATTAATTCTAGAAAAACCTTAAGGCAACACCATCAAGTCGTTTCCTCTTGTCATTCTTCTCTGGTCACCTTTGTTAGCGACTATTACATCATAAACTTGGATTGATCTGGAGGCAAGTGATGGTTTAAAATGTAGACGTTGGGTTTGAGATTCATGGTAGGTTGTTTGATTCAGTGGAGCGATTCTCTCTTCCTGTGTCAGAAGGAATGATGCTTTATTTTGCAATTCCTGGTTCTGGATCAAAGAAAGATTTCTGTGTTAAGATTTTATTTCTATATTTTAAAATACTAAACTTTGAATGAGGCTTTCTGGATTTGACTTTCAATTTTAATAGGTAGTAAATAGAGGGAATGAGTTTGAATATTTTGATTGACAAGGCTAAGGGTGGTTAGTTTTTCTTTCATAGTGTGATTCTCAAACAAATTGACCATTTAGATCCCTTTCTAAATAGTAAAATTGGGTGTCAGCCTATCCAAATTGGATTTGGATTCTCCTTCCATCACTTTCTATTTTAAATTTACTCGAGTTGTGAATATCTTATTATGCTGGAGAGAATGCTATCCTCTAGAATTGGAAATTCAATCCATTAGTAGTCTGTTTATGAAAGTCTTTGTTTTTCAAAGTAATCCGGTCTTAAGTGTTTTTGAACCATATTCATGCCATGATTTTGAGACCATGAGTTGGATTAGGTTGGCCGAGTGCCCTGAATATAACAATCAATTGCTTAAGAGTAGGCGACATATTCCCACTCGAGCTTTAGCAAAATCCTAAGTTGATACTCCTGATTGTATTTATTCTAGATTCTCACCCTTAAACTAACATCGTTAATGACTGTTTGAGGTGGTGGAAAACGGTAAGTAAGGTCGGCAAGTGAAGATATGAGTTATTGAGTTTTGCCAAAGAAAGCATTAACGTGTGCCACATTATAGTGAAAAATTAGGAATCTTTTAAAATAAAAGAAACGACAGGACTTTAAAGATAGGAATTTGGAATAAATGCAATCAAAGATATCAATTTAGGATTCCGTTAAACCTCGGGTGGGAATATGTCATTTGCTCATTGCTTAGTTTTCAATAGGCAACAATTAGGCCTTGATTCAAAGATTTTTAGAACCTCAAAATTTAATAAAGCACTTAAATACCCCATCAAATAAAAAACTACAATAGTTATGACACTTTGAACACAACTACATAGGAAAATTTCTGACTAACGTACTAAATAATATAAAAACCAACGATGAAGAGCACAAACATACAATTCAATTGTTTTGTAGTTCACAAACACACACAAATAGACATATATCGGAGAGTATTTTCTCCTACATCTCAACTCTGTAACGAGACAACAGAAAAACGATGACCGAAACAACAAGAATAATAGAATCCGATAAACCCTGCCCAGGGCTGTAAACAACACCATGAGGTCCTGGTAGGGAGAAACTCTACCTCTACAAACAGCGTTTCTTGTTTCCTCTGATTCCTTCCAGTACCTTTTTCCCATACATGTGGCTTTGCAGCAATGGATAATGTTCTTGAACAAGATTTAAAAGAGTCTGCCCAAGTGGCCGTCCCTGTTTTTTCAGATGAAAAAGAACAAATTGTCAGAGCTCCATCATATGAAGCAAAGCACAAGTAAGCCATATCATATCATCATTTTAGACTTTGCTGTTCCATTATAGTTGGAAGGTCACACTAAGACCTTTTAGATCTTCAAGAGATGATCTCTGGAAGTTCATATAGTGCTTAATCTCCATTAAAGCCGGTTAGTTTGGTTTATCTACAGGCTAAAGAAGCTTAATTTGTTCAGTACGACTTAAAAGAAAAACCTATTTTACGACTTATGGAATAAGCTAAAACCATAAGCTCTTTTTGAGCTTATTTAAAATATTGAAATTTCAAAAATGTTTCTAAAATATTCATACTATGCTTCTCTTTTTTGGTACTTTTACTTTTCTAACCAAATAACTAATAATTTTTTAATACAAAACTCTATTATAATATTATTCTATAAGCTCTACTTGAATAAACCGTACCAAACATATTTTAATCTCGACAAAGATCTAAAACTTCGTAAAACTAATTTAGCATTGACATTGTTACCTCAAATGTGATCTTTAATTTGAATTTGAGTGTTCAGGTTGATATAGGTATTAAGCTAACTTGTGCAGTAAATAGAGTGGGGGTAAAAAGATTATAGAAGACATGTTTGGAACCGAGAAATATGCATGGTAAGGATGATCTAACCTTACACCGCTTCCAGGCTGACTGAATAACAAAGTTTCCGAAATTGTTCAACATAAGATCCAAAATGTCTGGATGGTGAATAATCTCGCTTACAATGGCAGTCAATTGTTCCTCTGTTGCGAATTTCATACATTTCTCTACTACATTGCTCGCATACTTGCTTAGTGAAAGAGTGAAGTAACTCCCGGAAAACTGCGATAAAACATCGGCTGTAACTTGAGGTATATTAATTTCCAGAATATACTGCACAACATAGTTCCTGAAAGAGGAGAAAATAATACGATGAAGCGTTTTGAAAAGACAATATATGATGGAATTAATGTAATTGGAATTGAGAATTGGGAAATACCCGTAAGCATGATCAGATAGGACAAGTGCATTTGTGACAATTTCAGCTATGAGGCGTCCCTTGTGCTCTTCCTTGGCATGAAATATGCATTGTTGCAGTACACAGCATCCGCTTTTCTCTATTGCTAAAGTCACGCAACTCTCTACTATTTCTTCCACTAGCTCCTTCATGTTTATATCAAAATATTTACAAGTGGAAAATAGCAGTGAAAATTTACCCACCTGAATTCTAGTCTTTCTAAATACTTTCTTTTCAAAACATTCACTAGTACTGTGAAACATAAGCAACGGATTTATGGTTCTATATGCTATTTATAAATAATAAGTGTAGTCAGTCATTTTGAAAATTCTGATCAGTCATCCAAAGACAGTTTTTTTTATCTGAATTGCCTAGTACAGCTCCACACATAATTCTCCAACTATATATGATAATTCAAGCCAAGAAATCAACAATATTTGGAACTAATGAAAGCAACTTTTGATGAGTCAAATAAAACAATGACAAACAAGCAAAAATAATACCTCAACTAATCCCTCGACCCTGAAGTTGACCTTTATTAACAATGCAAGTGAATCGAACTCAAGATCTTTCAAATAATACATTCAAGAGTTTCGGTTGACCACTAGGCGAACTAGTAGTGGTTAGGAAGGAATGTTATTTACAAAGAAAAATACACAAAATCCATTGGTAATAACCTTTCACAACAAAACAAAAACCCTTAAATATGATATATGGGAGCATATGTTACCCTGCTCACAGGCGTTTTTCGGGCTTAGAGACTGTTCCATTCTGAGGCGTATCATATGCTTTTTACAATTTAAAAAGTTATATTTACTGATGAAAGTTGATGATAACTATTATTAAGTTGTATTTTTCATTGCTATACGCAACAATGGAAAGTAACAACTTCTTAAAAATCTTGATGTAATTGATACTGCATGCAAAACGTATTATTACCTTAGTATATTCATTGGAAAATTTGTGGAAGCATCGTTGAATCACATGTTGGCCATTGGGGCTCTTGCTCAAATTGACTGCAATTTTTTTCAGAGCTGACAATAGAATACATATTTGCTCCGGTTTTAAGGATTGTCTTTGCAGGATTTCTCTAGAGTCCAGCAGTTTCTGGATAACACGAGTTCTGAAACAGAGAAAACATGAAAAATAAATAAATAAATAAATACATAAAAGTTTAAACTAACGAGCGCCAAAACCCTCTTAATATTTATTAATTATACCCATGCACATCATCGCAAATCCTGAAGAGCCTTTGTTCAGAACTGACAACCGAACGAATGAATTCGGTCATTTGTTGTTCATTTAACACTCCAATAAGTTTCTGAATAAGATAATTAGCAAACTGGTGCACCATTAAATCAGGCAAATCATCTTTCACTTCCATAAAAATGATCGTGATATCCATTGGATTTCTCTCATCCACTTTCTTCTGCAAGAAACGACACTCCTTTTGATCTTTAGCCGCCAAGCATACACGACCTCTGAGTTCCTCCAATGAAGTGTGACTCGAATGTTGTCGTCCCCTCGCCTTCCCCCTAGAAGATGAAGATGGCAAGACGATATGTGACTCATTAATGGATCTTCCTGCAGACCCCAAAAGATCAACTCTAATGGATCTATTGCGACTTGAACTAGGCCCAGCTGAATATTCACGGCTGAATTCACAGCTAAAGTGACTCCGCCGCTGCAAGAAATTGTTAAAATTGGAACCGGAAGTCAATGTAGATAAATTGAATTGGTCTGGACCACTAAGGTCACTCAGATCATGGCTTAAATTGGATAGAGCTCCGCTATGTCTTGGATTATAAGCAGCCGTTTGTCCCCTCCCTGCGGAGTGCGGACTCAATTCTCAACCCTCTCATTCTATACTCAAGATCATTAAACACTTGAGTTTCGCATGGAGAAGACGGAGTTGAATAACGGTAATTATTAGTAGATGGAGTATCCATGAACAAGCTATTATTATTACCAAGGAACTGATGACCCGGAGGAGAAGATTGGCCGTACAAAACATTATCAAAACGACCATACCGACGAGGAGTTGACTGGCCGTACTGTCCAGACAAAAAAATTGCGTTTGAGTTTATGTTTGGAGGATAACAAAGAACCGCCTGGTGATTTTGCATTGTGGCCGGGTTCGGGTTCTGGAAACTAGGGTTTTGCATGTAGTTATTTGGTAGAAGAGTGTCTTGGTAAAAAAGGTTTCGGAGGTTAGAAATTTGAGCACAGTGGTTTTGAGGTGGGGGATGAATACTGACATGGTTTTGAGAGTTTTGGTTTTGCAGCATTGCAGGATTCACCTGCCGTAAAGAAGGCAATTCATAGCTATAGCTTTCGGCCGGTGGAAAAGAAGAAGCTAGAGTATACAATTGAGGAGGATATCCTTCACCTCTCCCTTCCATGGTAAGTTCAAAAAAAGAGTTGAAGTGTGAAAGGAAAGAAGGGTGAATGGGTTTGTATTGTAGGGTTTTGAAGAAAAGTATTAGAAAATTTAATCAGAGTTTGATTTTGGGCAGCGGAGAACGAGAGTTTTAGAAGAGTTTCCGAAATTAAAGTCTTCTCTGGTATGGTATCATAATAATGATGATAATAATTAATATAGAGAAAATATAGGAAGAGAAGAAGAAGAAGAAGTAATGTTTACACGAAATTAAGGAATCCTTTCTGTCAGAATTCAGTTTTGAGACAATTATCATATATTTCCGCAATTCCCATGGAGATTTAGCTTCCTTTTTTTTTTTTTTTTTAAAATAAAAATAAAATAAGCTCCAATACTAAGATAGTCAAATAATCAAATACTTTATGATATATATATTATAACGCTCTATTAATTTATATGACTTAATTTAAACACCTACCTTTTGTCACAACTCCAAACACTCATAATTAACTTAGAGGGATACTACTATTTATTATAGAAATAAATTTAAAAAAAAAAAGTTATTAATATTTTCATATGAATATATTTTAAAAAGGATTATCTAAATATATTAAAATATTTTGTTGGTTGGGTGTACGGATGATGATTCGATAAACTCTCCCTTATTTAAAGCTTGTTAGGGGGAGAATAACATTATCAATTATTATCATATCATCTAAAACTCTTCACAACTTAATTTAAAGAATAAATAAATTAATAGAATACTTCATATTGCCCTTTTTAAGATTGTGTTTCGCATTTTGGAACAAAATATATTAAACTCTAAAAATAAATTGAGTGACGACACGTAACAAAAATAAATTATTGTTATCTATATAACGGAAGAATTTTTAATTATCATATTTTTTATGCAGTACAAACAATATAACAAATTAACAACCATTGAAAAAAAAAATGTACAGCTACCATGTATGTATATGGCGCTGGTAATTGTAATAAAAAATTCATTTAAACTTAAATCCAAATTAATGTTTATCGACATTTTAAAAAAAAAGGCTTTCAAATAATCAAATAAGTTATGTGTATTTTGCATGCTTTCAAGCTTTACTGTAATGTTATACGTACAATACCTGATACAACAATTATAAATGATAGTGTCGTTATCTATTTGACATTAATTGTTTAATTTAATTACTTTTAGTTTCAATTTTTTTTTTTTTTTTTTGTTTGATAATCAGAGTGTCTGAGCTAACTTATATGCATTTCAACTAATCATTCGAAACTTTAGAATTACCGGTCGGATAAGAGTTTCAGTGATTATCTCTATTAGCAATCGAAGAGGGACTCAAACTCAGGATTGTTTTGTAAAAACAAAAATGTATAAACGACTTTAAAGGTAAAATCTTTGTGATTAGATGTAAAAAATAGGAAAAAGTGTACTGGCAAAATAAGAAGTCAATGGGTTGATATTGTAGTTCTTTAAGAACAAGTTATCAGCCCCATTGATTCAAATGCATTAGCCAACATTACATGATTTGCCTCCAGAATTTTCAGTTTCAGGGTCCACTTCAAGATTTTTAGGCACACTTGGGGCTAATTGTGGAGCAGGCAACCAAAATATAAGTCTACTTTTGGAAGAAGATAAATATACGTATAGCATGCATAAGCATAACCACAAAATAACACTAACCATCGTAACATGGCTTGGCCTATGATTAGAATCATCCACATTATCAAGCGGAAAAGATCCAAGGGTGGGTTCAATACGGCAACCATTTCCAACAAGCGCTTCTATCATGGCATTCTATTAACAAATTCTGATAAAATTAGTACCCATTTCTCAACTTCAACAACATCAAGATTAGAAAACGCAGACAAAACATTGACCAAAAGTGTCGTCATCTGGCTGCAAAACCTCCTCAGATTGACCTGATTGAGCAAAACCAGCCATCAAAGAAATTCAACAACTTTTATCAGGTCATTCATCCAACATCTCTATGTGCAGACACCAAAACTATTACACACACACTTGCATACACTGTACGAAGCCCATTACAACAAAACCCAATTTTAAAATATCTTTTACATAGAGAGCCTATGTTTTTAAACTTATCAAGGGAGAAAAGAATGACAGAAAATAGAATCTTCAGCCAAGCAGTGAAAGGGAAGATATTGAGACTCTGGAGTTCTTCGAAAACTACGAGAACAAGTTTTGAGGGGTGGGATACGGGTCGATGAATATAAATCGAGTCTACAGATTTTGGCATGAGTTTGAAGGAGATGAGAACATGAAAAGTTAGCTTGTAGAGAGATAGGCATGAAAAAAGTGGCAATTTTTTTAAGTTAAAGATGGCGGGAAGCTGTTTGAGGAATGGAAGCATATTTGGCGATAGTGGAAAAGGAATTTCATCTCGAAAACAGTGGTTACAGAGACACAGAATTTATTGACAACTAAGGAAGGAAGGATAATTGAATGTATTCAGACTATCATCATGTCACTTGGAAAAAAGGCTTTCGCAGCATTGGGAATTCATGTCTAAAGATCATGATCATCTGTAGTCTTCAAGATTCAGAGACTAGCAGATAACCGCAAATTGGCCAGGCCATGTGGCCAATGACTCATCCACCGCACGGCACGTATTGCATAATATCTGATGCTAATGCTTCAACTTTCGTGGCTAGTGAAACAAAGCAAAGACTTTATGATCCGGAAGTATGTAAAACCTTTGTCTTGAAATTCCAGTGGACAGCACCAAGCCTTACCCTTCTGCTTTCAAATGGAAAAGATCTAAGGATAAAATTTAGTATTCATACTACCCTGTGGGAAACGGCCTAAAGCTGACAGAGACCCCCATCAACCATGGCTAACAGCCCTACTTGACTAAGATTTTCGGCTACTCTTTAACATCCTCAATCCTGCAACAACTCAGTAAGATGAATCAATCTCTCAGCCGCAAATGTCTCCCTTCCAGATCATTTCCATGGTTAGTGACCTATTTATCTTCATTCCACTAACCAAAATAACCTACTAAAAAAGGAAATTTTTATTTTCATTTTTGCGAATGCAAGGAAACATAATCAATATATCCATAATTCAAATAAAGAAGACGTATCCTTTTATACATTAATGAAATCTCCATTCGCAAAAGCTTAAGTGGCCTACATTTATAGATCACTTTCAGCTTCTTCTTGTTGGAAAACAAACGTTGTATACACCAATCAACTCGTCTATGTACAGATGGAAGCATTTGTAATAGACAGTAAATCTCAAGCAACTTGTCCATCACCACATACATTATTTTCAGCATCAATTGTCAATGAAAGAAGTTGCATCAGCTCCATCCGATACTCTAGACCTCGAAGATAGTGTCCTAACAGCATGCACCTGACAGGAGAAAAAGAGGGAGTACGTCGAAAACTCAAAATCTTACTGGTCAAAAGACTGTACGATCTATACTAAATTACAGAGTAAAAAGTTAAGAGGAATGACTGCCACAAGTTTTTTAAAGCACTCAGTACTACACAAATGGTTAGAACACAGAATTGCAGTCAGAGGCGATCAACAATAATCTCCTGTGTTCATAATCCCATTGTTTGGGCACTTGTACTATAGTCAGATCAGCATAAAATTCTTAAAGAAATTTTATAATCAAATTTTCAAAAAGGAACTTGATAGCATTATAAAAAGGTAAAATTTGTGCTTTCTACTCAAAAAAATTTGACAAAGAAAAAGAAAGGTTCTGGGATATCAGAAAGTCAACCTGCACACATGGCTATGTAGAAAGTTCAACTTGCCAAGATTATGTCATTTATTTCACTTTCACAGTCCCCAAAATCACAAAGAAATCCAAAAACTATCATTCTACAAATCAGGTTCAACATCTGCTCAGGCCAAATTTTCCAAGTATGTAACCAAACATACCTGACTGCAACTTTTTTATTACAAAAAAAATAAAAGTAGGATTAAAAGGGAGAGAAAGGAGCTGGACTAACCAGAAAAGAAGACGAGCCAGATAGTCCCTTGTTAGCGAAATGTGTGGCTGGAACTGAAGTGAAGTATTTTCCACAAGTTCAGCAAAATCTTCACTCCCAATATTCACTGCTCCAGTTGTGGTGTTCTCCAATGAAGGGGGAGCTTTAGAATGCATTTTTGGGGAAAGGGTTGCAAGGAGACCATGGACCACAGAGTGGATTGTTTCTTTCAATTCAGGCGATGTAGGCTCCGATAGTTCAGCTACCTGTTCAAAAAACAATTGCATTAGATGTGGCAGTAACAAGAATTTCATTGCCCAAGAACCACGTACATGAAGATATAGAGAAACCTTAACAAATTACTGCTGGAAAGATTCCGTATCTAACATAAACATCCATAATCCAAAACTTATATAATAGGAAAAATAAAACCATATTGCATGCACGAACAGGTAGAACAAGTAGAAAATGTAATGTAGAATCATGTTGCTATAGCCTGATGTTTGCACTAACAGCAATATTACTTACAAACCTTTCTCACCAATTTTCTCTCACAAACGCAACGTGGCAACTCATGATTGGTCAGCCCGTAATGGGTCTCGCCTTCCCAAATGCGAGCTCACCAATTACGAGCTATCACGACAACGTTTGTGAGAGAAGTTTGTCAGCCAATTTTTATTCTTGCACTAAGCACGAGCAACAGTTAAACCAAAAGCCACACTTCATCCTTATACAACCATGGACATGAATTAGACACAAATTTAGCAGCATCAACAAGAAAAAAATATTCTAAAAGAGAGTAAATAATTTATATGAACTCAAGAGGGAATAGAAGTGGTCCAACCATAGGCTAATGAATGTCTAGAGCATTCAATTGGGAAGTAAAATTGTGATTACCATCTAACTGAGCACCAGATATATTTGAAGGAAAAAGTATGACATGACTAGTTTACAAAATGACAATGACAATACGATAGCAATAAGGTTGGATACGCAAAACACATAGAAATAAACAGTCAACATGCTCATGAAAAGTTAACGCAAAATGGTCAGATATGGCTCTAATGTGCAAAGACAGATATACATAAAAAGTTTCACCCATGGATATTCTTGCTACATAGGTGTGCCCCCTAAAATTTCACTTATTTCTTATATGGAACCGTCAATGCAAGCAATAACAAAGATCATATTGTAAATCAGCAGCTAGAACTTAGAACACGGCAAACAAAACGCAACAGGATGTACCTAGTATATAAATGTCCTAGTACCAGTGTTAAAACCCCAATAATCACCAAGTTAATACTAAGGCATGCAAAAGCTGCATCTAATGATGACAATATACTTCTATTTGCTACCCTAAAAGAAAAATGGTTCCAGATGAAAATTCCACAACCAGAAAGCATACAGAAAAAGGATTTTTTATTGCGTAAGAAGCTCTGAACGGTTTAGAGCATTAAGGTAAACCTTCTCAGGTTGTAAGGATCTTAAGTAGTCCAGCAAATCATTCTTTTCTTCTCCAACAAACTGTTGCATTTGAAGAGCAGCACTTTTCCTCTTAACTTCACAGAGTTCCTTCAATAAAGAAACAAAAGGAAATATGAGGCCACATCCTAAGCACAATAAACAGCCTATTTAAGGTAAGAAAGAGAAGAAAAAGATACAGAAAACAGTGAAATGTCCAATATCTGACTTAAAGGGAGAAGGAAACATGAAACATGCAGAGTTTGATGTATATTTATAAACATCACACTGAATACTACAAATCATCTAATAAGGTAAGGATGACAAATAAGTTAGCAAGTCAATTGTTTAATTGCACAGAGCTACAATATCTTCTATTGCAAAAAGTAAAATTTGAAAATAATGAAAGACGAGAGAGGGGTCTGTCTGCAGTGGCCACCGCATCTATGTGCACAGGCATGAGAAAGAGAGAGAATTCAAAATCAGAAATGGCTATTATCATAAATACTGACCCACCCACAAGCCTCATCTAAACACAAATACAAATGTACCGAAAGACACATTCAACACTAACAAGAAAACTTGTAAGACCGCATCAAATCAAAGTGAGCTCAACATATGACCAACCATTGAGCTCCACTCAACAAAGCTCTAAAAGGCCAGTAAGTTAAAAGGGCCAATGCAAATATGTTTTTTTCTATTAATATTTATTGAGCACGTTGCAGATTTCTAAATGTTTTCTCATACTTGTAGTTCATTCTACGAGTGCCAACATTTATATGTACATAGGATGTTAGAAATCAAGCAAGGCTAAACGAATACCAATAACCAAAGTTTAGCTTGAAAGGAATTCCATCGAGCTCTACAAAAGAACATCTTAAGCTAATCTACTTGTCAACTATGAGATTCAACAAATTAAAAAAAAAAAAAAAAAGAAGAAGAAGAACCATAGTTTCTTCTACCCAAGGGAGGTTCCCCAGAACGCAATACCTTTTTTGCAGAAGATAAATGAGACTGCAGATGATGAATATATTGTTGAACTTCAGGGGACGTTTCACCAAGGCCTTCGATACCAATATCCTCATATGGGTCATCAATAGTTTTCTCAAGTTCGGATGAGAAGTCATTTTTCCCAGATTGTTCATCTATTTTGTCACTACTAAGCAACATCTCTTGCAAATCCAATTTGGAACTTTCTGGCGTTGGACTTTCATGATCTACTTCATTTATATCAAGGTTTCTTTCAAGGCAAAGCCTATATTCAGCATTCCGCAATGTATACCTACAATTTAAGATTAAAAAGAAAAAAGAAAAAAACCAATCGTAAGCATAATCACCGTGACTGATGGTAAAAAGAGAAGGAAATAACCTTGAAATATCATACGCACATAAAGTATGAAAACAAACTATGATCTGAATATCAATTAGCCCAAAATATGTTTCCAGTATAAATACATCTAAAGTGAGGGAACATGATTTGGTCAAAATATAAACATGTATTCCCAGTACCCCACAACAACCAAAAGCACAAAAAGCACAAAAAATCAATTTTCCTTAGCCTAAAACAAAGCGTCAAATACATAAAAGATTGCAAATGAGGTTGAAGATGAACATACCCAGTCATCATCGAAGAAAACAATAACTTAGAGAGAGGTTCCCATAAAGCATCAATAGAAACTTGAAACCTGTCTGATGGAAGTAAGCCTAGCATGCTTGAGATGGTCCTTTTCATTGCATCCAAGGTGGTGGGAGGAACATCTTTTTGGATAAGTGTCACATCCAATGGTTCGATCTCTTGTATCATATCTGAGAGAAACGATTTCTGAAAGAAGAAAAATGCAATATCAAGGTCAAAATCAATACCGTATGATCAGCATGCTAAAGCACAGACATCTAACAACATCGGAATAAAACAGTCCAAAGAAACTTAAAACGGTTTCTAAAATAATTAGAGCATCATACATTCACATATACAGAATGCAATATAAATATGTGGTATCACTCAGCTCTTAATTGGTGGAGTGGGATCCCTAGTTCATGTAACTACAATGGTGGTTATAAATACTCCTCTTTCATAACCAAATCAAATGAGATTTAAGCACAGTATTAATATACTCCCTTATGGTTTTCTGAGGATACCGTTTTGGTGGGTTTGTTGCAAAATTCAAGAGCTAGCACCTTCCAACTAATAGTGGATTCTTTCACCTATTTCCCACACTAGAGCCTCATGGAAAAACTCATAATATTGTGAAAATGTTATAATATGCTCCACAGATCTTGCTATTATTCGAGCACATCCTTGGGCGTTTCCAAATGTGGAGATATCAGCCTTAAAACTCATTATTTTTGCACCAAAAATTTCAAAAAGTTGACTCCTAACCCATTCCATAGTTTCACAAGTCGCTTACTAGTTTGTAATCACAATTTATCTCAATGTTAATATTTCAGTTCAGTTCATCTCCGGACACTAATTAATGCTCACAAAAATTAGTTACTGATACTTCATTACCTCCCAGTTCGTTTGACACTTTAGTTATTTTCTATTTGCTAAGGGAACTGAAGAACCTAAAAGAAAACTGAACCTAAAATGTTTGTCTTGTTCTTCAATAAGTTAAGCCACATATATACAGAAAAATTATCTTCTGTCTGTATCTTTCACCAAAAACTATCTAAATTCAATATCTGAATTTCAAAATTAGCAATGCAAACAAATCTAGATGGTGAATTGAATCAACTGAAACTCTTATGAAACTCGGCAAAAAAAAAAATTAATACATATACATACATCTCCTCAGCAGCTTAACTATGCAATTAAAAGTGAAGAGTAGCAAAATCTGGAATCCAAAACGCAACGAGCAACAAAAATTTTGATATTTACTCATTCGAAGCAAATAAACAAAGCTGAAACTATTCAATTATTATTCTATCTAGGCTCTATTAAAGGATTCCTCACCAATTAGCTCTGAAGTAATTAAAAATCACAAATTATTAAAAAAAAAACAAAGCTAAATGATAAGCAAAAGAAAGATGAAGACCTTAGAGGAGCCAGCGGAGCTCGAATTCGATGGCGAACCGAGATCATCAAAAGACGATGATGATGAACAAACAATAAAGGTTCTGCGTTTTCCGTAGTTACCCGAGACGGAACGGAGACGAAGAGGAGGACGAGGAGGAGAAAGAGAGGGAGAAGAGAAAAGGAAGGAAGTGATGGGAAGAAAACGACGACGTTGAGAGGGAGAAGGAGGAGGAGGCGCAGGAGGAATAGAAGAGAGGAAAGAGATTAGGGCTGCCATACGAAATAACAACCACTAAATCTCTTTCTTTCTTTCTTTCTGAATTTGACTCTCCTGGCTCTCTCTGCCTCTCTCTTTCGCTCCCTCTGTTTTGTTTGCCTCCCGCTAACTGTAACTGCAACCACAACTATACCAACAGCGACACAATCATACAATATTGAGAACGGGGGTTTGGCAGAATGGCACTTTCCCACCCGTCAAGTTTCAAAACGACAATTTCCCACTCATCATCCGTTAACTTTAACCAAAGGATATTATAGTAAATTTAAAATACAATTAAAGAGTAATTACATTATTTTATCTCCCGTATATAAAATAGTTGCCTTCTCATCGCCGTCACCGAGTGAGATTGTTTGTGCCACCTCTTGGATTCGTTGAAACTGCCGTTTCGCTTCCCCCGCCACCCCTAGATTCTTCGCAAACCTGTCCGATGACATTTATTCAAAAACCACCACCCACAATTAAGAATTCTACTCTCAAAAACTGAAAATTTGAAAAAATAATTCATTCAAGTCTTGAAGATCCATAGAGGGAAGAAACTGTACCATGGCGAGTTTGGGATAGGCAGAGCGAATATCACAAAAGGAGGCATCATTGCCGAGGCCAATAACGGAGTAGTAGACAGAAGATTCGACAGTGGAACCTCCTCCTTCTCCATCCATTGTTTTTTTATTTTGTGTAACTACATGCCTCAAAAGATCAAATCATAAAGAAAAGAAACGAAAGAGAGACATTGAGCATTTTGCTTTAATGTACAGAAAGCCCCATTAAAGAATAATCAAAATCAACCTTTTGTGAAGAGCCGAAGTTTATGACAAAATATTGATGAAAAAAGTCTCACAAAAACAATAATGTTTTATTTTATTTATAATCTAATTTTGAAATTATTTAATGCTTTTGGATGAGGATGGACCAATCTTAAGCAATGTCGAGAAATGAAAACAATCGGTAAAAAGAGAAACAATAAGAAGAAGAATCACATTGATGTTTGTTCATTGAAAAACACCAGTGAATCTGCACCATTATTATTCGAAAACGACTCATCTAAGCCGAAAGCAGCAAGTGTGAAGTGAACAACATTTCTTTTGGAAGGTCACTCTTATCAGTTGATGAACAACATTTGCAAGGGTGAAGTGAAGGAAGCTGATGGGGTGAAGAGCTCAACCACTCCATATCCTTCTGTTGATTTCTTGAGCTTCTGCTACACTTGCCGCACTTGATGAGAAAATCAGCATGTCTTCTAAAAACTCTCGACAGGTGAAGAAGAAGAAAAGAAGTGAATGGTTTTTTCATCTTAACACTGTTAAAAGATTTTATTAACATATCCTATCTATGAGTGGGAACATGTCGTGCTTTCACAAAATTGAAAGCGGTAACAAGAAGAATACAATGTGAACAACAACACGAAATGATAAACAATCAACAAAAGGCAAGAATCTCTATACAACTCAAGTTTTAAACTTACTCTAATTTTTTACAACAAGATCCAATGGTAACTCATAGTACATCAAAATCACAGGTATAATAATATGCAACAAGCTGTGTAGACGCAAAATATATCAATGTCAATTAACAATTCTGTCATAGTCTTATGCATATGTTACAAGTTATCCAGACTTTTCTCATCTGTCCATCCATTTTAAAAGAGTTTAACCTTACCAAGATGTGAGATGACATTGCAGCAATATCCTTTGATAGCTTTTCAAGTGTTGGCTGCCGAGATAGTCCTTTATCCACAGCCATCTTCAAAGGATCACCATATAATGCCGGTATCAATCAAAATATATTATATGGGCAATAATGTAGCCCATAGCTCTTTATATAGTAAGACACCATTTTTTTCAAAAAGGAATTCACCACAATTTTTTTTTTTTGATAGCAAATTTAATCAGAATGAAATCGAAACAATGTTAGTAGTAAACAATTAGATTTTACAACGGTATTAACTATTGTATAAAGATTTTTAAAAGGCTTTTATCTAAGTGTAATACTACACACATAACATGATGTGGTAAAAAATATTTGATGAAAGTTTATTTTTAATTTAAAATCAGTCAATCATCTTTTACCCCATCATATTATACGAGAAATATTGTATAAAAATGTTATATATTTAGTATTATGCTTGATCTAAATTATAAGCATTTTTGTATCTAAATTTTTTTTTTTTCCTAACAATTAAAAATTTATATATGTTCAAGTACATGTTAATAATATCTCATTTTAGCTTTGAGTAAAAATAAGTATAAATATCAACTATATAACTGGAGACGCTCGCCAGGATAATAGAAAAGCAAACCAGTCATTGAGCTCAGCATAGAAGAAAGGGTAAGAGTTATGTCACCAGGCATGAGTTCCAATAAAGGTATTGTGGTTTGCAGCACTGACTTGCTAAAAGACTTAGCGCCAAAACAACACAATGATGTGAAAAATATGTTTCAATTCAACATCAAATTATACATCAAAGTGGTGTTAGTAAATAGTATCACTCCAAATTTAGCGTGATATTATCCACTTATATCAAATTGGTGTGGCATTGTTCAAACACTATAAAAAATATTTTTTTTTTATTTTTGTTATTTATATTTATGTTAATTTGATTATTATTTATAATAATAAATTCATAATAATTATATCATTCAAAAAATTATGAAAAATTAAAAGCAATTTTTTTTTCAATGCAATGTTTTTCTATATTGAATGTAATATTTATTTGATTAAATAAATGCTTAATTTTATTAAATTAGTATAATTTTCAAAGTAATTATTCTTTAATATAAATATTATTCTCAATATTTAATTAATATATACAAAATTAATGAGTGAAATTGATTAATTATTGATTATTACATAGAAAGAAAAAGAAAGAAAATATTTTAAGGAATATTCTTTTTGGTGTAATATTTAGTGCAATGGATTGGATATGCAATAGTGAAATACACCAAAAATTACACCAATTTAGTGTGAAACTTACACCAATTTAGTGTTTGTGGTTGGAGATAGTCTAAATAAGGCTAATTAGAAACATTATGGAACAAGAGAAATGTTATAAACTTTTTGGTACAAATTCTCTATTACAAACTCATAAAAACTATATCATTATCTTCACATTATTTATATTAGTCTAATTTTATTTTTCAATTCTCCAATTGACATTATGTTAGTTTATCTAGATTATATAGAATGGTTGCTACTTTTTATCGAGTAGATAAAGTAAGCATTTTCTTCGAATCTCAGAGGCATTAGGTAGCTGGTAAAATTCTTATGTGGTGACACCAAATCTTGATTGTTGTTTTTTCTTTTTTCAAAGTATCAGGACAAACCAAATTACAAACTTACCCTTGTTTACTTAAACGTTTCTTTGTCAATTTACAACTCCAAATGAAGGCCGGAAATATTTCTTGAAACCATAAACATGAGTTTTTTATAATTCTAGAATGTTTGGGGCCTTGAAACTTCATAAGATGAGTTTTTTTAAAGGAGATTAAGATTAATTACCATACTTGAAATAAAGTTTTTTCTTAAAAAAATATCATTTTTATATATAAAACTCCATGATTATGGCTCATATGCATAAATATAAGTTTGAACTTTAATTTTTAAGCGAAATAATAAAGCATAAGACTAGCTAAAGAGTAATTACGACTAATTTTAAAGTTTAAAATTTCAGGAAAAAAAAAAAAAATGGGACCACATAGAGAGCACAAAGGATTTTGTTTTAAAAGGAAACCCACACCACAGTGCGATTCTGTTATTCCCAGAAAATATGTCATTCAAAATGGCAGACCCTAACATTTACAACTTCCTCACCTCTAACAATCCAAGACCCACCTACCAGAATATAGATTAATTCAGTTCTTATAATCTATTTTAAATTCAAACTTCCTTGTATTCAGCAATTGGTTAAGTCTTCCTTAAGACTAGGAACCTTCCTTGTATCTAGATGTGAATTAGTTTTCCTTAACTATATATGTACAGCTATCTTGATTAATGAAAATATGTAGCTTCATTACGATTGTATTACTTTCTATATGGTATCAGAGCATCTCAATATTCTCCTCCATTAATTTTTTTTTCTTACCTTCCATTTTCCTCCTTATCATCCAACCACAACATGACCACCCAAACCAACCACGCAGATACTACCTCTCTCGCTAGCCCTCAAAACCAAGAGGTTCCTCTCATCACAATAAATATCTCAGCTCAAGCACCTCTCAAACTCACATCCCCTGGAAACTACAATTTGAAACTCTATTCATTGGATATGACCTCATTGGGTATATCAGTGGATCTACACCCTGTCCTCCAAACACAATTACTACCAACAACATCACAGTAGTGAATCCTTTTCATAAACTCTGGATTCGCCAAGATCAGCTACTGCTCAATGCCTTGATTGGCTCTTTCTCCCCTACCATCATTCCCTTTATTGCTCGTGCAGGGACTGCTAAGGAAGCATGGACCATACTTGCCAACACGTATGCCAAACCCTCTCGTGGTCGCATTAAACAGGTCAAAAACCAACTTAAAAGCCCAACCAAGGGCACTCTAACCATAACTGAGTATCTACAATCTGTTAAAGCTCGTGCTGATGAACTGGCTATACTAGGTGCCCCACTAGATCCCGAAGATCTCACAGACAAGATACTGGATGGCTAGGAGACGACTACAAAGAACTTGTTCGTGCAGTCCAAGCTCGTGACACATCCATTTCCTTTGATGAGCTTCACGAAAAGCTTCTCTCCTTTGAAGCCTCTATATCAGCAACCAACAGTTCAGCAACACCTCTGCCCATTACAGCCAATCCCACACAAAAGACCAATCAAACATGGCATCCACCCAAAACAAACAACAATTAGCGTCCCTCTCATTCCTCACCTGCTGGTCACCCAAATTGGCGTCCTTTAGCTGACACAACTGGTCGTCCTCCCTTGTTCTCAGACACACGCTCCCAATATCGCAACAACCGCCCTCCATCCCGACCCTATCAAGGCTTTTTCCAAATCTGTGGCATTCAAGGACACAGAGCCAAAAGATGTCCCTCCTTTTAGGTGATACCGATTCGGTCTTTTACTATTGCACGTACATCATCCAACAATCCCAGAGCTCCT